AAACTTGATTCAAAACAGATCACAAAACTATAAAACTGTATCATGAAACATAAAACTTTTAGGAAAAAGAGGAGAAAAACGTCAGGATCTAGGGGTAGGCAAAGAGTTCTTAGAATTGACAATGCAGCATGAATCCACATAAGGAAAAACTGATACAATAAACTCTATCCAAATTAAAAACTTTTACTCTGCAAAAGACCCAGTTAAGAGGATGAAAAGATAAGCTACAGACTGGGAGAAGATATTTGCAAACTGCATATTGGGCAAATGGCTAATGTCTAGAATACATAAAGAATTCTCAAACTTGATAGTAATAAACAATCCAATTAGAAAATAGGCAAACAGCATGAACAGACGTTCCACCCAAGAGGATATACAGATGACAAAATAAGGACATGAAATGATGTTCAACATCATTAGCCATTAGATAAGTGCAAATTAAAACCACAATGAGGTATCACAACATACTTATCAGAATGGCTAAAATAGAAAATAGTGAAAATACCAAATGGTGGAGAGGATATAGAAAAACTGGATCACTCACACAGGCTGGTGTGAATGTGAAATGGTATGCCACCCTGAAAAACAGTTTGTCTCTTAATAGAACCAAGCATGCAACTACCATATGACCTAGCAACTTCACTCCTGGACATTTACCTTGGAGATGTTCACACAAAAGCCTGTACATGAATGTTTATAGCAGCTTTATTTTTAATAGCCAAAAATTGAAAAGAATGCACATGTCCTTTAATGGATGAATGAATAACTATGACATAACATACCATGGAATTCTGTTTAGCAATGAATAGGAACAAACTTAATATATGCAATAACCTGGATAAATCTCCAGAAAACTATGCTGAGTAAAAAAATGCCAGTCACAAAAGGTCACATACTGTAAGGTTCCATTTACATAACATACTTAAAATGAGAAGATTATGGCCCAGCTGGTGTGGTTCAGTGGTTGAGCATTGACCCATGCACCAAGAGGTCACCAGTTCGATTCCTGGTCAAGGCACATGCCCAGTTTATGGCCCAAATCCCCAGTGGGGGGCATGCAGGAGGCAGCCAATCGATGTTCTCTCTCATCAATGTTTCTCTCTCTCCCTCTCCCTTCATCTCTCTCTAAAATCAATAAAGAAAAAAAAATTTTTTTTAATGAGAAGATTATAGAAAGGAGAACACATTAGTGATTGCCAAAGGAAACTGGATGTGGCCACAAAAGGGCAACATGAGAGGTCCTTGTGATAGGAATGTTCAATATCTTGACTGTATCAATATCAACAACCTAGTTATGATACTGTATTATAGTTTTGCAAGATGGTACCATTGGAGGAAACAAGGTAAAGGTTATAATAGGATCTCTTACAATTCCATGTGAATCTATAATTATCTCAAAATAAAAAGTTTAGCCCAGCTGGTGTGGCTCACTGAATTGAGCATCATCCCATGGACTGAGAGGTCCCGGTTCGATTCCTGGTAAGGGCACATGCCCGGGTTGTGGGCTCAATCCCCCATAGGGAGAGTTCAGAAGGCAGCTAATCAATGTATCTCTCTCATATTGATGTTTCTATCTCTAGCTCCCTTCCTTTCTCTCTAAAAAATCAATAAAAACATATTTCAAAAAAAGTTTAATAGGGCCCTGGCCAGTGTAGCTCAGTGGTTAGAATACTGGCCCTTGCACCAAAGGGTTGCAGGTTCAATTCCAGGTCAAGGGTACATACCTGAATTGAAAGGGTGATCCCTGTCCCTGTTCAGGGCATGTGTGGCAGGCAACTGATCGATGTGTCTCTCTCACCCTGATGTTCTTTTCTTTCTCTTTCTCTCTCTGCCTCTCTCCCTCTCTTCTACTCTCTCTAAAAATCAATGTAAAAAATCTCAGATGAGGATTAACAAAACAAAACAAAAAAGTTTAATTACAAAAACAACTTTACACATGCATATCTGTCTGCAACTTACTTTATAAACAGTTTAAAATACACACTATATGCACACACATACAAAGAAAGATAAAGCAAGTGTTGCAAAGTGTTATCAACTGCTGGCTCTACGTATACTAATCTTTCAACTTTTTGTAAGTTTGCAAGTTTCCAGAATAAAACATTGAGGGAAAAGGAAGAGTCTCTAGTATCTAGATCCTTTGGTTTCCTATTTGAAATGCTACACAGCAAAATTACTCCTACCTGGCTGAGTTCTGTGCTTCCATAAGTACCTACAGCCTGGAGAAAAAAGGCAACAAACCATGTGGTTGTGGCCTTTGAGGTCTGATCTAATGTGGATTAAAAACATCCTGAAGACTGGAAATACAGCATGTTATACTGGCAACACATAACCCCCTAAGTTTTACTTTGGAAAAACTACATGTGCATTATTATCACTCTGCTCAGCATAGTTGGAAAGCATGCAGTTTCATGACTATCAATATGAGGACAACTGGTTTTTTGCTTTTGTTTTTAAAGCATGAATTTGTTTACTTCTTTCAAGTGAAAGAATACCCGAGTGACACTGCTCCTCCATGAGGCAACTCTTGTAACTACTTCCAGCTGTTCTGGAAATGTAACAGAGGTGTGCCTACCTACAGGCAACAGCACTGGTGCTGGAGTCACACAGACCTGGGTTCAAGTCACTGACTAGCTATGAGAGCTGTATAGGCCTCAATAAAAAATGATGATAGTAAGATTAGTGTGGGACTATGAGAATTTAATGTTACAAGGAATGTAAAGTGTTTAGGATAAAGTAGAACTCAATACAATTTTGCTATCATTAGCATTTAAAATTATTTTACTAAAGTAAAACAGTCAAAAGCATATTTTACAAAAATAATTACTCAAAGTTATTTTATTTTACTTAAAAAAATTTTTTCTTTATTGATTTGAGAGAGAGAGAAACATCGATGAGAGGGAACATTGATTGGCCACCTCCTGCTGCCCCCCACATGCCCACAACCTGGGCATGTGCCCTGACTGGGAATAGAACCGGTGACCTCTTGGTGCATGGGTTGATGCTCAACCACTGAGCCACACCAGCCAGGCTCATGAAGTTATTTTAAAGTTAATATTTACCTCACATTGTTTTAGAATCATATTAAATAATGTATGTAAAAGTTATAACATTGTAATTTTATAGCATTAAAAAATTATACAAATGTAGAAATTTTGCTTAGACAACCCGGAGAATAAAAAAAATATCGGAGTTAAATCCTGATTCCATCACTGACTTACTGGCTATATGATCTCTGGATAATACTGAAATTACTTCAGATGTCTCATTTTCAAAAATAAGATCATATCCCCTGTGTGGCAGGATTACAGAGATTCAAGTTTAGAAAATCTACACAAAAATAATTCATAAAATTAAAGTACTGGTCCTGGCCAGTTTGTCCCAGTGATTAGAGCGTTGGCCCATGGACCAAAGAGTCTCAGGTTTGATTCCGGTCAAGGGTTCATACCTTGGTTTGGGTTCTGTCCCCAGCCCTGGTCAGGGCCATGTGGGAGGCAACCAATCAGTGTGTTTCTCTCACATCAATGTTTCTCTCTCTCACTCCCACTCTATCTGAAGATAAATGTAAAAATATCCTTGGGTGAGGAAAGAAAGAGAGAGAAAGAAAGAGAGGAAGGAAGGAAGGAAGGAAGGAAGGAAGGAAGGAAGGAAGGAAGGAAGGAAGGAAGGGCTGTGACATTAACAAATACAAGTTTTCACATTTCCTGCAAAAAATGTCACATTGTAATTAAATATAAAATTTAACAGAAAAACAATTTCCAAAAATAATATAAATGATTAAGAAAATTAGGGGATTATAAAAATTGGGTCACTGAAACTAAAATTTTTAACACACCTTTACATAAAAGTCAAATGGATATATCCAAAATATTTCACTAGAGACTTCTACTGAGCTTTAGGTAGCTTTATATTTGCAGCCCTGAATATTCCTATGTAAACCAGAGAAATGTGTTACTTATAAAAGTTCAATCAAAAGGCCTTATTTGCTCTAAACTGTTTTAGCAAAGACATTCCTGGGTTTGGGTAATTTGGCATGGTCATCTCATCCCTCCCTACCAACCTGTGCCTCCTCTCTTCTTGAAAATACGAGGACCCATACGAGTATACCTGGGTTATCACCCAGGTATAAAACCCCTTCCCTCCTTAAGCCCCATATCTATTCTGTCAAGTCCTAGCAGTCTTCCTTCTCCATGTCCTTCCCCACCACATCCCTAACTGCCATTACCTCTCATTACCTTCTGCCTGGAATAATGGAATCACCTCGCAACTAATTTCCTTGCTTCCAATCTCTCCACTCTGACAATCCATCCTATTCACTGTTATGTTTTTTTTTATTTTATTTTATTTTTATCCTCACCCGAGGATATTTTTCCATTTTTTGTACAGATAGAGTGGGAGGGAGAGAGAGGAAGGGGAGAGAGAGAGAAACATCGACGTGAAGGGACACATCGAGTGGCTGCCACCCGCACGACCAACCAGGGCCGGGGACAAACTGCAACTGAAGTACGTGCCCTCAGCGGGAACCGAACCCGGGTCTCTCCGGACCGCAGGCCGACGCTCCAACTGCTGAGCCAAACTGGCCAGGGCCATCCTATTCACTGTTAAATTAAATATTCTAAAATACTGCTTTCGCTGTTCCCTATTCAAAAACTTTCCCAAAAGTACAAACTCCTCGGCCTGGAGTATAAGCAGAGTCTGGAAGCTGAATAATCAACCAGTCACCACAAAGTCTAGAAGTAATCTTTACCGCCACAGGCAAATGACATGGACCACTGAAGCCCAGCACAGGATGGGGGTAATATCAAGTTTACTGGGATCTATGTCCACTCAAAATGGACAGGTAGGTCATAAAGCTAACAGAGGCTCAAATTAAAAGGGAAGCAAAAAAAATCAAACATTATTTTTATTTATTTCAAGTGCACAAGCAATTATTAGAATTGATACCAGAAACAAACAATAATGGGAAAGTGTTTCTTAAAAATAGGAGAGAAATTACTTACCTGGTAAAGACAGGCTGCTGTTCCAAGGAAAAATGCAATGATGTAATTAAAATCCTCACCATCACTCTGCAAAAACAAAATAAAAAATTACTTTTTTTCATTTTCAAAAACCATCCATTGGGACAGAATATGAAAATGTTTGTGCATAAATGACCAAAATTTTCACAGAGTGGTATATAAAAATTTTTCAAGAGTCCTACAAGGGAAACAAAATCTATCTTAAGATCCGAGGAGTGGCCCTGGACGGTTTGGCTCAGCGGTTAGAGCGTCGGCCTGCGGTCTGGAGAGACCCAGGTTCGGTTCCCGCTAAGGGCACATACTTCGGTTGCAGTTTGTCCCCGGCCCTGGTTGGTCGTGCGAGTGGCAGCCACTCGATGTGTCCCTTCACATCGATGTTTCTCTCTCTCTCTCCCTTCCTCTCTCTCCCTCCCACTCTATCTGTACAAAAAATGGAAAAATATCCTCGGGTGAGGATAAAAAAAAAAAAAAATCCAAGGAGTGTAAGATAGAGAAACACCACCAGTGTTCCTCCAACGCCTGCCTGTCAGTTTCATGTTAACTAAGAGAAGATGAAACCAATGGAAAAAAGTTTCTCTTCTCTCTACTGAAGAAACCATATAAAAACGTACAACACCCCAGCAGCCTATAAAGTTAGTCTTGCTCAGTAGGGTCATTACTTAATTCAAATAATATTCACAAATTTTACTATGTAGTAAGCACATCACCAAATTGCCCAATACAGTTATTTGACAAGATTGAGAAAAAAAAAAACAAAAAAACCACAACCAGAAAACATGCCCACTAGAGTGTGCTACATCCCAATGAGAAAAATCAGTCATGCATGCTGTGCTAGAAAAACAGCCACCCAGAGGAAAATCAGAGCTACATCATGCATAGAATATTTCTTTTAAAAGAAAACTAATAGTACAACCTGTAACAGCCCGTGTTTTTCTATTCCTGTTTGATTCTCACTAAATATCCATATTTATTACTTATGTCAATGTTTTAATAAAGTAGAACACAAAGCCTAAGCAGGGCAAACATTTGTCCCGTATTTTAGAGAAAATTTAATACAACAAAAATTTCCGCAAGACAAGAGTGTCCCCCATGATCATGTCTTCATGGAGTACTATAAAAAGAAAATTCCTTTCCCACGTGCTGTTTGTTGGGCAACAGAACTGCCCCCGAGGCAGAGGGCAGTGGCTCCGCCTAGAGGCGATCTTCAGACAGGAACCGGCAGTCTGTGGGGGACGCTCAGAGACAGTTCCACACCACAGGCAAGGAAGGTCACCATGAAACCTTTCCACTTTAATAATTCTAAGACTTTAAATACAGGGTGGAGCAAAAGTAGGTTTACAGTTGTGAGTGCGTGAAACACAGTTTATTCTTGTATTATTTACTAATTATTGTATTATTTTCCATATGAACAACTGTAAACCCACTTTTGCCCCACCATGTAAGTTTTGCTTATTTTCTTAATCCTTTACTTTTCAAATAATCTTTTTTCTGATTATAAAAATTTATGTTCATTGTAGAGAATTTGGAAAACATTGTTACAAAGAAGAAATTCATATAGTACATAGTACCAAAAAGTCTGGGAAAATTACTGCTAACCATTTTAAGTATGTCCCTCTGATATTTTCTGTACAAAAATATATGTACATTTTAAAAAACTGGAATCATACTTTTTTATATACTGCTTTTTAGCATTTCACATTATATCATAACAGGTAAACATTTCCTCAAGATATTCCTCAACCACATGATTTGTAATGATGATATAACCTTTTATAATGGGGATATACCATAATTTAATTATTGTCCTACAGTAGGTTATTATTTCCCCCCTAAATTTATAATATCACTTTATAACTCTTTTAGTTGCCTATGGAACATTTAAAAACATGTTTCTAGAGTCAGTCATCAGATCTGATTCACATCTTTACTTAGTGGACTATTTAACTTCAAGTTCCTTTTTTGAAAAATAAAAGTTGTAGAGATTAAATAACATTTGCAAACACAAAGAACAGTAACTGGCACACAGAAAGTACTCAAAAAACATTTACTAACTTCATTTCTCCTTGAGGTTACTGTCTGCATCATTCATTGAATAATTAGATTACCTTTCAATGTTGTTTTAGCCTCTAATGTACTGGCCTCATCTTCTCAGACCCTAACCCTTCTTCAAGGCAGAAAATAAATCTTACTACTTGCATGAAACTGTGCACATAGTAGGAATTCAATAAGTGCATGCTAAATTGAGATGAGTTTTGAAAAATTTTATTTCTACTTGGTAAAGAGAAGATTGTCTATAAACATATTTTTCAATTTAATAACTATTTATTAAGCACTCATGGGCTAGTACTCTGTTACCAAACCTAGGAGAGAAAACAATTAACCAACTCAAGAAACTCACTCTCTAATCAAGAAGGCAGATACCATTTCCACCCACATTGATAACTGGTGGTCTAGATATGTAAACAAGATACTAACGGAGCCTACTAGAGACCCATCTACTTCTGTCTGGAGAGAAAAGGGATCAGAAGAGGTCTGCCAGAGGAAGTAAAGCTTAACCTAGGTCCTGAAGGATGAACTGGTGGACAAGGTAGACTACAGAAGAGAATTCCAGGCAAAGGGAGTAGCATGTATAGTCTCAAAGAGGGAAGAGGCCAGGATGACTCCAAGGTATCTTGTTTAGGCAACATTTGAATGATACCATTCACTAAGTTGGAAATACCAGAGGGAAAGTAGATATGATTTGTACATGCATAGTACATAGGTTTGTGTGTATATGTGTATGTGTACAGATAATATACAGAAAAAGTTCGATGATTTTATTTTCTTCTTTATACACTTCTCCCCGATTTTTCAACAATGAGCATAGAAACAGGAAAAAATACTTGATTTCCTTTGAAAGCAAGCAAACACTGCATATTAGAATAGGTATTATACCACTAAATAAATCAAAAACTTCTGTTGAGCTTTAATAGATAGGTAATTTCTTTAACAGATCTATGGGAAAAACAGAACTCAAGGAATAAAAGCAAGTTGATTACTACTGCTTGGTAGTAGCCATTAGAAACAATTTTAGAATCAGAGCGTCTTAGAACATTTGTTCTGAAGTGGTCCTTGAGTTTACTTAGTCTAAAACCTTCATCTCGCAGAATAGAAAAATAAAACGCAAGAAGTTTAAAAGTAAGCCTTCAAAGTCACAAAAGTAGTTACTGGCAGATGGACCCAGGTACCCTAATTTCCAGGCCAGCATTTCTACTGCTCTATCAGAATGCTAAATTCTTTCTAATGTATCACATGCAAATTACTTCTAGGTTGGCATAAGACTAATTGATATCATTGTTTCAAGGCCGATCCTTAAAGAAACACAGGTAATATAAACCCGATGTGATAAAAGCTTATTATACATTCATGAGGTGCCAATTCACAAGAAACTTGTTAACATCTCTAAACTCAGAACAAAGTTAGCAAATGAGTGAAAATAATCTAATTTACACATTACTGTGAACATCAAATCAAATCTACCAACTTAAAAAAAAAAAGTACTCATCCTAAACTTCCCCAGTCTGAACTTGGACACCAAAGAAAAAACTTCAGTGCTATGTATTTTAATAAATCCCTGTTATCACTCTAAGAGGTAGTTATTAATCTAGAAGAAACAAACTGGTGCTGAATTTTCTAACAACATTAACAATATACACAAATGTGCCCAGCCGGTGTGGCTCAATGGATTGAACATCATCCCATGGACTAAGAGGTCCCAGTTCAATTCCCAGTCAGGGCACATGCCTGGGTTGTGGGCTCGATTCCCAGTGGGGGGTGTGCAGGAGGCAGCTGATCGATGTCTCTCTCTCACATCAATTTTTCTAAGAAAATCAATAAAAGCATATTAAAATAAACAATATACATGAATGTTAATTCATGTGGGTTCTCAAATTTAAATGTACCTCAGGCACCAAGCTACATACTAGAAGATAAATGTGGCAATCATGTTCAGAATTAGAAAGAATATTTAGAATTCATGGTCTTAAAGAAGTAAACTTTATTGATATCTTGCTCACACTCAGAAAATACAAACGTTTTGTCAGCTAGAGGTAAAAATATGATCCTCAACTAAATCCTTTGCTCTTAAATCAAGCATTAAAGAAATGTTGAGTTGTATAAGTACTCTATATATTTTGGATATTAACGTTGGCAAATATGTTCCCTTTTGATTTTGATGCTGGTTTCTTTTTCCGTGCAGAAGCCTTTTGCTTTTAAGTTTGATGTCGTTCCATTTATTAATTTTTTCCTTTGTTTCTCTTGCCATAGACGATGTATCAGTGAAACTTCAACTACGTATGATTCACCTCACACCAGCCAGAATGGCAGCCATCAACCAATCCTCAAACAACAAATTCCTGTGAGGATGTGGAGAAACAACAAATGTTGGCGAGGGTGTGGAGAAAAGGGGACTCTAGTACACTGGTGGTGGGAATGCAGACTGGTGCAGCCACTATGGAAAACAATATGGTGTTTCCTCAAAAAATTAAAAATGGAACTACCACTTGACCAGTGATTTTGCTTCTTAGAATATATCCTAAGAAGCCTAAAACACCAATCAGGAAGAATATATGCACCCCTATGTTTATAGCAGCACTATTTATAATAGCTAAGATCTGGAAACAGCTCAAGTGTCCATCAGTAGATGACTGAATAAAAAAAGCTATGGTACATATACACAATGGAACACTATGCAGCTGTAAGAAGGAGAGATTATCTTACCCTTTGAGATGACATGGAGGGACCTGGTGAATATTATACTAAGTGAAATCAGTCAGTCAGAGAAAGACAAGTACCACATAATTTCACTTATTTGTGGAACATAATGAACAAACTAAGCTGTTGACCAAAAGAGATCCAGAGTCATGGAAGTAGGGAACAGACTGACAAAACTCAGAGGGATGGGGTGAGGGGTGGGAAGAGAAAAAAAGAACTTACATGCATATATGCACAACCAACTGACATGGACATTAGGCTGGGGAAGGCAGGAGGGGGAGCAAGAGTGGGAAAGAGGGGGTCAATGGGGAAAACAGAGGACATCTGTAATATTTTCAACAATAAAAAAATTAAATGCTAAAATAAATAAAAATTCATCACCAAACTCAAGGTTGCCTAGGTTTTCTACTATCTTTTATAATGGTTACAGTTTTGTGTTTTACATTTAGGTCTGCGACCCATTTTTTGTGAAAGGTGTAAGATATGTGTTTAGATTTATGTTTCAGCATGTGCATACGCGGCTGCTCCAACACTATATGTTGAAAAGAACATCCTTTCTCCACTGAATTGCTTTTGCTCCTTTGTCAAAGATCTGTTGCTATATTTGTGAGGGTATATTTCTGAGCTCTCTACTCTGTTCCATTGATCTATAGATCTATTGTTTTGCCACACTGCCTTAATTATTATAGCTTAATAGTAAATCTTTCAGTCAGGTAATATGTCCACTTTCTTTTTCTTCAGTACTGCATTGGCTATTCTGGGTATTCTGCCTCTCCATATAAATGTTGGAATCACTTTGTCAATATCCACAAAATAACTTGCTGGGATTTTGATTGGGATTGTGTTGAATCTATGGATCAAGCTGGGAAAGGCAAACATCTTAATAATATTGAGTCTTTCTATCCATAAACATAGAATATCTATTTATTTAGAACTTCTTTGATTTCTTTAATCAGAGTTTTACCTCATATAGATATTGTATATATTTTGTCAGGTTTATTCTTATGTGGCTCAATTTTGGGAGTGCCAATATAAATGATATTATTTTAATTTCAAATTTCAGTCATTCCTTGCTTACACAGGAAAGCAATTGCTCTGTATGTATTAACTTTGAATCCTGTGACCTTGTTAATTACTTATAAGTTCCAGGAGCTGATCCTTTGGGATTTCTCTATGTAGACAATCATACCACTGTGAATAAAGACAGCTGTATTTCTACCCTTTGTTTTCTTTTCTTGTCTTATTTCATTAACTAGGTCTTCCAGTATGATGATGAATAGGAATGGTGAGAGGTGACATCTTTGTCTTGTGCCCAATTTTAGGGAGAAAGCATCGAGTTTCTCATCAAATGTAATGTTAGTTTCAGGATTTCTGTACATGTTCTTTATCAAGTTGAGGAAGTTCCACTTTATTTCTAGTTTCCTGTAGTTCATGAATGGGTGTTGAACTTCATCAAATGCCTTTTCTGCATCTACAGATGTAATCATAAGATCTTCCTTTCACCTATCGATATGATGGATTACATTAACTGATTTTCAAATGTTGAATCAGCCTTGCATATCTAGAATAAATCCCACTTGGTTATGGTGTATTCTTTTTTAAACTTCATAGGATTCAACTTACTAGTAGTTTGTTGGGGATTTTTACACTGATGATCATGAGAGATATTCTGGGTATTCTGCTTCTGATGTCTTTAAAATGTAAGTAGTCTGAGAAATTTCAGAGCTGTCAGTCAGTTACAGGTAAGTGGTAATTAATTTAATCAGATTGCAGGCATACTTTGGAGACATTTCGATATGGTGGTTCAGTTCCAGACCACCACAACAATGTATTACAATTAAAGCATTTTTAATCTTTTTGCTGGTAAAGGGTCTTGCCTTCAATTTTTAAATTATATCTGTGAAGCCCAATAAAACAAGGTATGCCTGTATTGTTCTTCTGAAACCTAAAAAATAACTGTGATGAGGCAAAGACATTACTGACCAGAGGGAGAACATGAAACTTTTAAGAATCAAGCCCTGGCTGTTTTGGCTCAGCGATTAGAGTGTCGGCCTGTGGACCAGAGAGTCCTGGGCTCGGTTCCCGCTAAGGGCACATACCTCGGTTGCAGTTTGTCCCTGGCCCTGGTTGGGGTCGTGTGGGTGGCAACCACTGGATGTGTCTCTCTCACACTGATGTTTCTTTCTCTCTCTTCCCCCCTCTCTCCATCCTGCTCTGTCTGAAGATAAATGTAAAAATGTCCTTAGGTGAGGGAGGGAGGGAAGGCAGGAGGGCAGGGAGGGAGGGTGGGAGGGAGGATCAAGGCATGTATTACTCAGGTGTAGCAGCTCAAAAGCATGAAAAGTTGTAGTTTATACCACTTTCCTTAGTTTTAAAGTTGTAAATCAGAAGAGGAAGAAAGAAAAGAATCAGTCCAGAAAGAAAATAAATATGAAATCTGAGTGCCTAAATTATTTCTTTTAACCTTTTTTTGTGTGATTTATGACAGCATTGTCTGATGTTTAACTTAAAACTAATGTGGTCTAAGCCTCAGGTTCCACAACTTACACACTGTCTTCTGAGTTAGGGATGGAAAGTTTCTATGGCTTTTCTGAAAGCTTTTCTCAACCCAGGACTGTTCCATCCTCTTATTTATTAATTTGCTAATTTCAAACAACCAAAGAATTTTTTATTCCTTTATTTATTTTAGAGAGAGGAGAAGGGAGAAGGAGAGAAAGATAGAGAGAGAACATCAATTAGCCGCCTCCTGCATGCTTCCCACTGGGGATTGGGCCTTCAACCTGGGCATGTGTCCTGACTGGGAATTGAACCGGCGACCTCTTGGTGCATGGGTTAGTGCTCAACCACTGAGCTACACCGGCAGGACCAACCAGATAATTTTTTTAACCAGAACAGTTTAACCTTAAAATATCACCTTCACAATTTTGTCAACTCTAAATACTAATTACACCAATATTTATGTAGTAAATTTCATAAAGTTAAATTTTATTAAAATTAATTTATTTTATAAAATTAATTTATTTTAAAAGGAAAGTTTTATATCTATCATTAATAGAAACCAGCATCCTTTATCAAACATACACACTAAGTACTATATACATTAAATACATAATTCTTAAAATTGAAAATGTTCACCCCTCTATCATCTTTCATCTATTGTTTAAATATTGGTAAATGTGTCCCATACTTTGAGAAATACTCATCAAATCCACCCCTTCTCCTTCATTTGATGTGCAATGAAACTGAGGACCAAAAAACAAAGCAAGATATTCAAGGTCACAGAGTTAATCAGTAGCTGAGCTGGAGCAAATGCTTACTCTTTTTCTTCCACAAACAAAAATCAACTCTTTACACACCTACACTACTGTTCTTCTTACTATATCAAGTTTTTTAAAAAGCAAATAAGTATCTTATTTATTAGCCTTTTCAGTCAGCAGCCTCCAAATGCCAGTGTTTCTTTTGGGCAAGAAGACTGGCTCCAAGTTGAACTCCCACTGGAATACAGCAGACCAGGCCAGGGAACAAAGGCAAGAACATTTAAGGGACAATATCTAGCAGTCTTTTGCCTAAAAGAGAAAAGGGGTTTTACCTACAGGCCCAAGATGTTTGGAAGAGGAATTGGGAAGTCATGAGATGCTACTTTCCATTCCTCACTCAAGGGATAGCTCAGCTGCCTGGAACCTGTGATGTCCTCTGCTATATGCTTCATACAGCTGAGAATATTCAGAATGGTACTCTCTGGGTATTCCCCAAACTAACAGTAATTATAAAACAGAATATAAAGTGTGTTAAGTGGGTTTTTATAAGCTTAATGCTGACAACCCCCAAAAGCAAACTAATTTACAATGGGGAAGTGTCAAAAAGTCTTCAGAGAAATGAGTATTAACAAAGGGAAAGACGGCTGTATACTCTAAAATGTGCTAAACTTTAAGAAAAGTTTCACAGCTACGGAGCAGAGATGGGGAGTGGGAAATGCACTGGAGGGATTAAGCAAAAAAGAGAGAGAACTCATGGACATGGACAACAGTGTGGTGACTACGGGGGTAGAGAGGGATGGATGGAGGTGGAAGAAGGTAGTGAGGAGACCAATGGTGATGGAAAAAATAAAATAGCATCTAAAAAAGTTTCAAAAACTTTACAGAAAGAACAAGAGAATAAGTTAATATATTCTGATAGCCACATTCTCTGAAAGAAACTCCACTAGAAAATAAAATCGTTGGCAGTATCTGAAGAAACTGGTGATTTCACAGGTAAGCACCAACAAGAAAGGAACAAGAGCAGATAACTAAGTAGAAATACACAGAGGTGGGGCAAAAACCTGCTGGTGAAAGCCCTCTTCTTTCTTCCACTCCCGCCTGTCTGCTCAGATCCTCCCAAGTCCACCTCACCACTCCTCCACAAAGCCTCCTTCTCCTACCCTGACTCCCTCTGACCCTCCCCTCTTCTGCTCTCTACGGACTTGGCACTTGGCACTTATTTGTGGGCTTCTTTCTAATTCAACTCGAGGCTCTGAGACTGCAGGGCCCATGTCACACATATCTTAATGCCCCCAGATTACCCATAAATAGTGCCTCCTATAGAGCAGATAATAAATATGTGCTAATTGAGACAAAGAAGTCAACCAGAAATCAGTGTTTTTTTTTTCCCAATTAGTGTTTTTAGAGGAAGGAAAAAATAAGGCAGGTATAAAGAATACAAAATCTGAGCATACACTGTAAGTTGTACTAATACTCAAATCCATTTGAACCAATTCTGTAACAAGCAGAATCAATAGACACAGTACCCGAAATTGCAAAAATAGCACAGTACCTGCAGGAGACTTTCTATGGCATGAAAGCCTCGAATTAAATTCAGAGCTCCACATAAAAGACTAAGGATAAATGCCACAATCCCTGACAGAGTTGCTGGTTCCAGTCGTTGGTGAGCTGGAAAAAAAAAAGAAATGGTTAGAAATGAACATCACTATCTCATGTCATTACGTAAACTTATGTAAAATGAAATTCATTGCTCAATTTAAATAGTCAAATACAAATTATTAATCTTCATAAAATTATCTAATACTCTATCTTAGCAATTAACTATTTTTTAAATGCAAAATATCTAACAACATAACAGCCTCATTCCCCTGAACTCACATTAAACTGACTTACATCTCTCCACATTTTTAGCAAAGACATCTCACTTGCACCTGGGATATATACTGCTAAGGAGTGCTCACATCTGGCAGTAAATAAGGTAGAAAAAAACCTTACTGCCCATATATGTCTACCATTTGCAAGCAGTTGCAAAGATCTGCAAAGGTGACTTTGCTTGGAAATTTACTGCATAATTCCTACTTTCCCTGAAAATGCTTAGGAAACATTTTATTTTATTTATTTATTTTATCCTCACCCGAGGACATTTTTCCATTTTTTGTTCAGATAGAGCGGGAGGGAGAGAGAGGAAGAGAGAGAGAGAGAGAGAGAGAGAGAGAGAGAGAAACATCGACGTGAAGGGACACATCGAGTGGCTGCCACCCACATGACCAACCAGGGCCGGGGACAAACTGCAACTGAGGTACGTGCCCTTAGCGGGAACCGAACCCAGGTCTCTCTGTACTGCAGGCCGATGCTCCAACCGCTGAGCCAAACCGACCAGGGCTTAGGAAACATTTTAAAGGACAAACAGCTTGCTTTTAAGCAAAGCTCTCCCTTATTTGGGATCCAGGGCTGTAAGAACCAGAGGATATATATGAAAGCTTATATATACAGTTGACCCTTGAACAACATGGATTTGAACCTCGTGGATCCACTTACATGTAAATTTTTTTCAACAAATAAGTACAGTACTTTATATGTATTTTCCTTATGATTTTCTCAATAACATATTTTCTGTTGCTTACTTTATTGTAAGAATACAGTATATAATATATATAACATACAAAGTATGTGTTAATTGACTGCTTATGTTATCGGTAAGGTTTCCAGTCAACAGAAGACTATTAGTAAAGTTTTGGGGGGAGTTGAAAGTTATTCACAGATTTTTGACAGCACAGGTGTCAGCACCCCATGTTGTTCAAGGGTCATCTGCAATCACCAATCTGAACTCCACAATAAAATAGTCTTACAGTTATGAAGTTCCTGGTCTCTGAAGACCACTTGAAGACACAAATGATAGAACCAGTTTATCTTTATAAACACATTTCCTTATCTGACAGGGCTTCAGCAGCGTGAGACATTTAGATATACAATAGCTTCCCTTCACATCATCTTGCACGTAACAGAATTAACAATGGAGTCTAAATGAAAACATAAAACTAAATACAAAATCATACAGACCTCAAAAGGGAGACAGATGGAAAGAGAAGACAATAGAACTACATTTAGATCATTTTATTTAAATCAGTGAAGTGTAAAAGCCCTAACAATGAAGTTAATGAGGTGGAACATTGATATAAAAAAGGGCTTAAATCTTTGCAACTTATATTCAGCCATTTTAGCAGAAAAGCTTCCCTAAACAGTTCATAAAAACACAAAACCCACATATCACAAAAAAGTATTTATTCCTCAAGTTCATCAGAAAATGATAATATGGGATAACATTTTCTTAAATTTCTTCTGTACGTAAGCTTACTGCTTGGTCTCTCAATCAATTTTCTTGAGATTTTTATATGAAACAAAATATTAAATGTCTTTGCAAAGTACTGATTCCAAGTTTTATATCACTAGAGAAAAAAAGTCTGACAGTTTAAAAACCTATCCAATTGGTGTACCAATTAGCCATGTATTGCATCTCTCTTCCATCCCTCCCCACAGCTCCCCCTCAACAATAAGGGAGAACTGCCTTCTAATAAAAAAAGAAATCCTCAATATGGGCCTCAAGCATAAAACCACCTGACAATGGAATAGATTATATAAACCACATTTCTGAAGTATACAAAACAAGTTTACCTTACAAAATAAACAAAAAATATTCTGTATTATAACTAAAAATACTTTAGCTTTTTATGGTCAAGTAAGGCATGGCCATTCTTAAATGGGAAAATATTACCATTTTAATGTGTTGGACAATATTTATTTAAGAAATAAATAATATGTCTATATAAATTAAATATTTATTAAATGTCTAACACTTGCCTCTTGGCCTTGGAGCACTCTCTATATAATGGTAGTATACCATTTATAAATTATTTCAAAATGACCAGAAATATTTTTAAAGCCATGAAAGCAAATGACAAACCTCCTTTAACAAGGACAAAGCATGCATTATGCTGAAGGACAGGCTGGAGCTGTGCCAAATCACTGTGGGAAAGAAATTCTCAAGCAGAGATTCCCTCCTACCCTATCCCATTCCCAAGACTTGTGGGAATAGTTATCCAGAGAAAACTCCATCTGCATAAATAAAAGGGTGAGACTTCTTCTGGATAATTTCTCAGTTTTAACAAACTGAATGAAAGATTTAATCACATTTTAAATTTTAATGTATTATGTTTTATATGCTTTTTTTGTGTTGCAGTAAAACAGATTTTAGATCCATTGTTATTCACAAATGCGAACTTCACACTTCAATTTGGCACCAAGATAGTCACCATTAGGAATAGAGAGAATTTGGAACAATAAAAAATGAGAGACAAGCTAGAAAATAAAAAATCTCCTGAATCTAAAATGTCACTTGGTCAGTTTTTGTTTCGTTTTGTTTTTGCTAATACTGTCTTTTGCTATGATGCTTTTTCTTTAATTAGTCTCATTAGGCCCAATAGTGGCATTTTCATGACAAAATTAATTTTTTCTCAAAATGTACCAATGATTAATAAAGAGTTTACAAAAGTTCTTAAAGAAGTAAGAGTTAGTCCCTTGGAACAAAAGGGCTATTGGTTATAGTGAATTAATATATTTATTCAGCAAATACTTTTTTAAAAAGTTTTATCCTCACCCGAGGACATTTTTGCATTTATAGAGAGAGGAAGAGAGACAGACAGAAAGAAACATCAATGTGAGAGACACATCAACTGGTTGCCACCTGCACAACCCGAATTGGGGCCCGGGACGAACCACAACTGAGGTACGTGCCCTTAGCTGGAACCGAACCTGGGACTCTACAGTCCATGGGCCGATGCTCTAATCGCTGAGCAAAACTGGCCAGGGCTCAGTAATACTTTTTGGCACAATTCTATATAAGATGCTGTGCTTCAGAAGGTATGACAATGAATTAAAACCCTGGCTGGTGTGGCTCATTTGGTTGGGCATCAGCCAGTGCACAGAAAGGTTGCTGGTTTGATTCTGGTTAGGGTACATGCCTCGGTTTCAGGCTTAATTTCCAGTAGAGGGCATGCAGGAGGTAGATGATTGATGTTGCGCTCTCACATCAATGTTTCTCTCTCTCTTCCTCTCCCCTTCTCTCTCTCTACTAACTAACTAACTAACTAACTAACTAACTAACTAACTAACTAACTAAATAACACAATCTGAATCTGCCCTCAAGGCACTTCTCATGTTTTAAAGGGAAGTGGAGAGATAAGCATATGAAAGTAACAAGTATTCTAACCTAAAAGAATTCAGAATTCTGAAGAGGAAAGATAACTAGGGGGAAGGTGGTAACACAGGGGTGGTAGAGAACTAGTGAAGATCTTTAAAGATGGATAAAATTTAGACAGGTACAAATGAGAAGAACTGCATTCCATGCAAAGAAAAGAACATGAACATGGAGATGGAAGTGAGAGATGCAAATACCAGCATCTACTAGTACTGCTGCTACCAACAGCGGCTGCTCTCAATATACCAGGCAAGATGTCAGGCACCAAGCACTTATAAGAACCCAATGAAGTAGGCATTATAATTATCCCATTGTTGTTTTTTTTATTCCCCCAGACCAGAGACTAAGGTTAAGGTAAATTAAGTAATTTGCCCAAAGTAAGTAAATGAGCTGGGATTTAAATTATGCTGGCCTGACTCTAGAACTCATGCTCTTAATCACTTTGCTATTGGGCATCGCTAATGATTTTGACTAAAATGGATGTCTTCGAAGAGTAGGAGGAAGTAAGTTCAGAAAAGAGGTTAAAACAAATTAATACACAGTCTAAAATACTAGGCTAAAAATGATGGGCAAATTAGACAATGGGAAATATTACTAGGTATAAAGAAGGTAATTTAAAAGTGACAAAGGAGTCCATGTACCAAGAGAACAAAACAATCCTAAATATTTATGTACCACTTAATAACAAGCTTTAAAAGATTTTAAAAATTATATACCTAACAGAAGAAAGATACAAATTCCCAGTCAGATATTTCAACACCTCTTTCAAAAACTGATAGAAGTAGACAAAAAAATCATAAAGGATATAAAAGGTGACTTAAACAATATCAACTGACTTGATCTAAATGACATTTATGATCTAAATGACATTTAGAGAACACTCCACCCAACAACAAAATACATGTTCTTTTCAAATGAACAAGGAAAATGACTAAGGATAGATCATACTCTGGGGGAATAAAACAAATCTCATAAATGTAAAAGAATTAAAATTATACAAAATTTGGTATCTGGACATAATGGAATTAAACTAGAAAACAATAACAGAAAGACATTTGGAAAACTTCTAAATATTTAAAAACTATTAAAATAAAATAAAGGGAAAAAATTTTTTTTTTAAATTTCTAAATAACCCATGGATCACAAAAGAAATCAAAAGTAAATTTTAATAGCATTTTGAACAAAATAAGAGTGAAAATACAATATATTAAAATTTATAAATGTAACTAAAGCAGTATTTAAAGGGAGATATAGAATACTAAATGTCTATTATTAGAAAAGTAGTTCTCAAATAACCTCAAATTCTACCTTAAGAATCTAGAAAAAGAAGAGCACATTAAACCCTAAGAAAGCAGATGATAGGCAGTAATAAAGATCAGAATATCAATCAATGAAATAGAAAACAAAAACAAAA